AAGCAAGGAAAGGGGCTATCAAAGTGACGTAAGGTTGAAAGAAACAACTGTTTTGCTCTCTGGTTTAATGAAGACATGTACCACCTGTTCCATTGCATTTCACTTCTCCTTTGTTCTTATCTGTATAAATATAGCAACTGAAATAAACGAGGTGCGGCAGTCACCAAGGACTCCGTCCTCCCGTCCCCATCTTTTTGTTGTCTCTTCATTTCTCAGCCTCGCCCCCTAACTCCAGGTGCCGCACATCGTCGGCTGGCTCCGGCAACTATCTACTAAATAATTGATTGATTTTAAAAAATACACACACATAGGCCGGGCGCTGTGGCTCACGCCTGTAATCCTAGCTCTTGGGAGGCCGAGGCGGGCGGATTGCTCAAGGTCAGGAGTTCAAAACCAGCCTGAGCGAGACCCCGTCTCTACTATAAATAGAAAGAAATTAATTGGCCAACTGATATATATATAAAAAATTAGCCGGGCATGGTGGCGCATGCCTGTAGTCCCAGCTACTCGGGAGGCTGAGGCAGGAGGATCGCTTGAGCCCAGGAGTTTGAGGTTGCTGTGAGCTAGGCTGACGCCACGGCACTCACTCTAGCCTGGGCAACAAAGTGAGACTCTGTCTCAAAAAAAAAAAACAAACAAACAAAAAAAAAAATACACACACATCCTCTTCAGAACATAACAGAATTCAAAGTCCCTACAACATATCACTTACAATGTTCAGGATATAATCCAAAATTAGTCAACATGAGAATAAACAGGAAATATGACCCATATTTAATCGGAAACATAATTTTTTTTTAGATAAAGTCTCGCTCTGTCATCCTGGGTAGAGTCCACTGGCATCATCATAGCTCAGTGCAACCTCAAACTCCTAGGCTCAAGTGATCCTCCTGCCTCAGCCTCCTGAATAGCTTGGGACCTTATACTCACACTACCATACCCAGCTAATTTTTTCTATTTTTTGTAGAGACAAGTCTCGTTCATTGCTCAGGCTGGTCTTGAACTCCTGGCCTCAAGTGATCCTCTTGCCTTGGCCTCCCAGAGTGGTAGGATTACAGGCCTGAGCCACTGTGTCTGGTCAGAAAAAATAATTAATGAAGACCAACTCCAAATGACCCAGATCTTGGATTTAAAGAACTGCGCTCAAGATGTAAAGAAAACTATGCTCATCATCAATGAAAAAATAGAAAATCTCAGCAGAATAATAAAACTATATTTGTTTCTTTTTAGACAAAAACAGAAATTCTAGAAATGAAAAATAAATATGAAAAATAAAAATTTCATTGAATAAGGCTAACAGCAGATTAATGACAAAGCAAAAATCATGAGCTTGAGAATAGATCAACAGAAATTATCCAATCTGAACAACACAGAGAAAAAAAGACTGGGAAAAAAAATGAACAGAACTTTGGGGGTAGTGGGACAATATGTAAAGGTCTTTTAACAAAAGTAGAAGTGTATTTCTAGAAAGTGAGGAGAGAAAAAATAAAGCAGAAAGAATATCTGAAGGAATGATGGCAGAAAGGTTCCCCAAAATGGTAAAAGACATTAATTTCCATATGCAAGAAGATCAGCAAACCCCAGGCAGGACAAATATAAAGAAAACTACCCCTGAGCACATCATAGTGAAAACACTGAAAACCAAAAGAGAAACTCTTGAAGACAGCCAGAGAAAAACAACCCATTACATACAGGTGAACAATGACAGTTGACTTCTCATCAGAAACTACAGAGGCCAAAAGACAGTAACAGAAAAAAAAAAATACATTTAGCCTACAATTTTATATCCTTCAAGAATCATGGGCCAGGCATGGTGGCTCACGCCTATAATCCTAGCACTCTGGGAGGCCGAGGCGGGAGGATCACTCAAGGTCAGGAGTTCGAGACCAGCCTGAGCAAGAGCGAGATCCTGTCTTTACTAAAAATAGAAAGAAATTAATTGGTCAACTAAAAATATATAGAAAAAATAGCTGGGCATGGTGGCGCATGTCTGTAGTCCCAGCTACTCAGAAGGCTGAGGCAGAAGGATCGCTTGAGCTCAGGACTTTGAGGTTGCTGTGAGCTAGGCTGACTGACACCACAGCACTCTAGCCCAGGCAACAGAGTGAGACTGTCACACACACAAAAAAAGTATATTGTGGGAATCATAACTCATGTAGATAAATACTTATGACATCTATAACATAAAAGATACATTAAAAGGAGAAATGGGCATATAAGGTTGTATATTTTATGTGAAATAGAACATTATTAACTAACTGCATTGTGAAAAGTTAAAGAAATATATAGTTGACCCTCAGCATCCTCAGGAGATTGGTTCCAGGAGGCCCCCACTCAACCAAAATCCATGGATGCTCAAGTCTGTTATATAAAATGGCACAGTATTTGCTTATAACCTACGTACATTCTCTTATATATTTTAGATCATCTCTAGATTACTTATAATACGTAATACAACGTAAACACTATGTACATAATTGTTATGCTGTATTTTTTTTTTCATTGTTGTATTATTTGGGGCTTTTGTTCTTGTTTTTGAGACAGGATCTCACTCTGTTGACCAGGCTAGAGTGTAGTACCATCATCATAGCTTACTGCAGACATCTGGGTTCAAGCGATCCTCCCACTGAGTAGCTGGGACTACAGGTGCATGCCATCAAGCCTGGCTAATTTTTCTACTCTTTGTAGATATGGAGTCTTGCTCTTACTCACACTGGTCTCAAATTCCTGACCTCAAGCAATTCTCCTGCCTTGGCCTCCCAAAATGCTAGGATTACCGGTGTGAGCCACTGTACCTGGCTGTATTTTTATTTTTTATTGATCTTCTAATTTTTCCATATTCAGTTGGTTGAAGCCAAGGATGCAGAATCCATGGATATGGAGCATCGACTGCATTATAATCACTAGAGCTGCCACACACACACAAAAATAGTAGTAATGTAAAGAGGTACAGCTAAAAAGCCAAGAGGTAAATAAAAATGGAATTCTAAAACATATTTAATTAACTCAAAAGAAGGTAGGACAGAAAAGAGAAACAAAAAAGAGGGGAAAAATAAAAAACAATATACTAAAATGGTAGCTTTAAATACAACCAAAACCTTTCCATCAGCCCATGAAGCTCTAGGTCTGCTAGTGTCTCTCACCAGCTTCACTTCATACCACTCTCCACACCCCACTGCTTTCTTCCTCAAGTCATCCACACCCTTTTCTAGCACCTCTCCATCTTTAGGGCCAGACTTTTGCCTGGTCAACTCCTTTTCTTTTTCTTCTATTTTTTATAGAGACGGGTTCTCAGATGTTGCCCAGCCTGACTTGAACTACTGGGTTTAAGTGATCCTCTTGCCTCAGCCTCCCAAGTAGCTGGGACTACAGGTGTACGCCACTGTATCTGGCTTGGTTAACTCCTTTGCCTGCTTAAAGTCCTGGCCTAAATAACAGTTCCTCTCATAAGTTTCCCTTGGTTTCCCCCAGACAAGGAGGCTAAGATGAATCTGGTGTGCTCACTTCACTTCCTGCCCTTCTCAAGTGTTAGGTCGGAGCCGAGAGGGACACACTTGAAGCCCAAAGTGTAGTCAAATGCTATTTATTTGAACATCTGGGTGCAGATGGTTGGAGACCAAAAAGAGCATCCACGCCAGGAAGGGGAGAGCCTTGGGTTTTATAGGAGGTTTGGATGAAGTTTGGGGAGAGTGAATTTCTTTCTGAACAGTAACCATTTCCTGCCAGCATCGCCACAACCGTCTGTGGTCAGAGTTAGATTTACAACCTCTAGACCAGGGGTCCTCAAGCTTTTTAAACAGGGGGCCAGTTCACTGTCCCTCAGACTGTTGGAGGGCCGGATTACAGTTTCAAAAAAACTATGAACAAATTCCTATGCACACTGCACATATCTTATTTTGAAGTAAAAAATCAAACGGGCAAAAACACTCGCATGTGGCCCGCGGGCCGTAGTTTGAGGAGTTTTTAGGACGCCTGCTCTGGACTCTCCAGACTCCTGTGGCTATTGTTTCACAGGCCTTATGATCACCATCTATATTTTCTATTAACTACATTCCATCCTATACATACTTTCTGCGTTCCAACCCTGAGCAGGCCTAACACTCAGTACTTTAGCTACTAACTCATTTCTGTTTTCTTTGCTGAATTATAATCCTGAAGGATAGGGTCATACCTCTTTCTTTGGCTGCTCTAACCCTAGAACTCAATTAACATACATGTAATAAAAATAACTAAAGTCTGGTGCTCGCTTCGGCAGCACATATACTAAAATTGGAATGATACAGAGAAGATTAGCATGGCCCCTGCACAAAGATGACATGCAAATTCGTGAAGTGTTCCATATTTTAACAGAAATAAAATTTAAAAAAATAAAGTCTGGTTTGAGGTTCTGGAACTCATCTTTTGGACTGTAAAATTTGTATACCCTGTGATAACTGGTTTTCTGAACAGGCTGAACTGAATGGGACACCATAGGAAACAGCTTTGCCCTCAATGTGCTCTCACACTCTGTTGCTGGGCTCCTCTTTCTCCTCTCCTGGGTAGGCATCTCTGGCAGATTCCACTGCTTTTCAGTCACTTTAATTGTGCAGTCCTAATGAAATCAAAACCTCAATCTTTCATCAATTCCAATTTCTCCCCTCCTCCACATGTCAGGACCTAGCAATGCTCTGCTAACTCTCCTCCTTACTCCTCCATTTTTTCCTCTGATCTCAAGGCTATTTGTGGCAACCCCAGAGCTGAGGCAAGGGGGAGAACAAATAAGACAAAAGGGGGCAATGACCTTCATACTGAATTAATGCCCTTTGTGGCTTTTGGCCTCATGCTAATTCCTGCTCTTTTGTGAAAGTTCCTAGTAGGTCCTTCATGCACCTCCAGTGCACTGCACAGCACCCTGATGCAGGTGTGTGCCCTCTTCTGCTGACTTCTTGCTTACCCGTCAGCTCCTATTCTCCAGGGCTACACCTCCAGCCTCTCTGTTGGGATTCTTCCTTCCTTCACAGGTAGGAACCCCTTAGATGACTCAGCTACCCTCTGTGGAGTCTACTTGTCCCACCAACTGGTAGAAGTGTGGCTAATCCAACTGCTAGTCTCCTATGCTCACCCAGCCATCACGGACTGCTCCAAGTAGGAGGCAGATGGCAGTCATCCTGATCCCTAAAGTCCAGGTAACATTCCAGGTTCTCTGCCTGTCACCCTGGTGGCTGACATATTTTGACTGTTCAGCAGGCTGGGACACAGGGTCTCATCTCTCCTGTTTAGAAGCACCACAATTCTGTGAGGTTTGCCTGAAGGGACATTTGCTTGGCTTTAGGCTGGGAGGAAGGGAAAAATCTACAGCATTTTAATCCTGTGAATGCTTTTTACTTATTTATTTTTTAGAGACAGGGTCTCACTCTTGTCACCCAAGCTAAAGGACAATGGTGTGATGATGACAGCTCTCACTATAACCTCGAACTCCTCAACTCAAGTGATCCTCCCACCTTAGCCTCTGGAGTACCTGAGATTACCAGTGCATGCCACCATGGCCAGCTAAGTTTCTACTTTTTTTTATTTTTTGTAGATATGAGGTCTATATTGCCAGGAGAGTCTTGAACTGCTGGCCTCAAGTGATCCTCCTGCCTTGGCCTCCCAAAGTGCTGAGTTTACAGGCATGAGCTACCCAGCACCCAGCCTGAAAACCTTTTAAAGAATCCTTTCTACTGAAACCTTCACCCTCACCTCACTATCTTCTCTTAGCCCCAAAGTAAGTGGTGGGGGTTGAAGGTCCAAGGACCATGTTCTAAGAAGCCTTGAATTAGACGGTAGGGGATTTTTTTCACCTCTTATTCTCCATTCTGAGGCTTTAGATGGAATTCCCAGACATAGACCAAGTCCTGTTCCATATCCAGTTACAGCTGTTAACCCCATCCCTCACTCTAGCTGAATATCAAGAATTTGAAGATGTAGCATGTTCAGGAGATGCCTAGGAGATAACAAATGTTGTAAAACTCTGCTTCTCACACTGGAGGATATGGATAGACATGTCACTAGAAGTCACAGCGTACCTATATTGAACATCAATGTTTATGTGAAAACACACATGGATATGTTATGGAATGAAATGCTAAATTTTGACATAAAAAAACCCCAGGATCTTTTACATCAATTATTGAGTTCACAGTGAGATATTTTACCTACACACCCTAGGGGTGACGCATGGAAAATTTTGAGAACTTTTTGAGGGATGACCTATTCTGTGGGATAGCTGGATCCTAGAAAAGGTTACCCTTTCTAGAAGTCTTTAGGAAGCTGCTGAAACAGGTGAAGAAACAAACACTGAGGAGAGAAACCAGGTCACCCTGACTGTTTCACAAACCAGGAAAGAGAAGCTTCGTAAGCCTCACCTTTAAAAAAGGAGAGGAGAGGATTCAGCAGGACTTCTGATCACACTGAAAATAGCAGGTCTGGATCTCTAGATCAGGAGCCAGAACCAGGAGAGGTTTTGTTTGTATATGGGTTTTGTTTTATTTGTTCTTCTGAAGACTGCCTGAGCTATGTTTGCTATTTCTGTCTATCCTGTAGGGCTGAGCTGCCAGTAGCCTCCAGCAAGAAAATCCTGGAAACAAAAAGCACTGAGTGGAAATAAAGAGCAATAAAGGGCAGCACAGTGAAAGCTGGCCTACTCAGTCAACTGCAGGCCTCAAGGGACTCAATGGATGGAGCAGATTTGACAGAGAAAATGGAATCAGGCAGAATCAAAGGTGGGAAGATTGAGAGAAACATTAGGAGCCTAGCAGTTGGAAGACCCTGTGGTTCCCTAGCACAAAATAAAACAAAACAGTATCCAAACAGGGATTTATGACTTCTATTGAACAACATGAGTACACTGGTAGAGATTATCAAATCTCTAAATTTAACATCTAGACTTCCCCAAGAACCCATTCATAGTTTTATGATGTCCCTGGTTCTCCTATGAATGCTATTCAGAAATGTGGACCAAGTTGCATCTCCCATCTCAATATGGTGCTTACCTTTCTTAAGAATTTTCTTCACTTTCACATAGTTCCCTTGTTTGACATATTCATGAAGCTGAGCTTCCAAGGAGTCATTTCTTAAGGTACCAAGCTGAACAGGACAGGGGACTGGAAGATGAATAGCCCGAGACATCTGTTTCAAAAGAGACCAACATGTTTATTCTAACCAAACCAGAAATGCAACGAAGCAACTTAGATTCTTTCACATTTAGAAACCTGTCCATCCACCTTTATTAATAATGAAGATGATTAGGGGAACAATTACTGAAACTCTATGTTATTATTGCAATTGAAGACCTGAATATATTTATCACTAATTCCCAGGACTGAAAAAGTGATGACTACTAGGAAATAAAATTAGAAATATACATGTTTATGGTGTCATTAATTAGGAAAATATTGCCTTTGAAAGCTTAGAACACAAATGTAGTCATTATATAGGAGTGTAGATAGTATAATGTAGTAAAGCCAGGCACCCTGGCTCATGCCTTTTTTTTTTTTTTTTAAATAAAGCATTCGCATCTTCAAGTGGCTCATGCCTTTAATCCCAGCACCTGAGGGAGGAGGATTGCTTGAGTCCAGGAGTTCAAGCCCAGCCTGGACAACATAGTGAGACCCCATCTCCTAAATATGTATGTATAAAATAAGATAGTATAATGTTATAATGTAGTGGGTTAGGTTCATAGTTCAGACTCTAAAGTTTTTGTCTTGGCTCTGTCACTGTGGACCTTGGAGAAATTATTCAACATTGATAGGCCTCAATTTTTTCATCTGTAGAATGGGGATAATAATAACCAGAGGGTTGTTGAGAGCTTTTATTGAGCTAATATGTGTAAAGTGCTTAGAACTCTGCCTGGTACCAAACAAGTTCTCTGTAGTTGTTAGCTTTACTAAGAATCACAAAGAGGCCAGGCGCGGTGGCTCACGCCTATAATCCTAGCACTCTGGGAGGCTGAGGCTGGTGGATTGCTCGAGGTCAGGAGTTCGAAACCAGCCTGAGCAAAAGCGAGACCCCCTCTCTACTATAAATAGAAAGACATTAATTGGCTAACTAATATATATATAGAAAAAATTAGCCGGGCATGGTTGGTGCATGCCTGTAGTCCCAGCTACTCAGGAGACTGAGGCAGTAGGATTGCTTGAGCCCAGGAGTTTGAGGTTGCTGTGAGCTAGGCTGATGCCATGGCACTCACTCTAGCCTGGGCAACAAAGTGAGACTCTGTCTCAAAAAAAAGAAGAAGAATCACAAAGGGAGATTTTAACTTTCCACATGTGGCAGCCACACCTGACCATCATTCATTCATACAATCAGGTGTTTATGGTATACCTACTGATATGGTTTGAATGTGCCCTCCAAAATTCACGTGTTAGAAACCTGATCCCCAATGTGGAGGTATTGGGAGGAGGTAAGACCTTTAAGAGGTGTTTAGGCACTGCCCTCTGAATGGATTGATGTCGTTATCATTATCAAGGGAGCAGGTCATTATCAAAGGGGTGAGTTCCTTATAAAAGGATGAGTTTAGGCCTCCTTTTGCCTCTCTTGCCCTGTCCTTCCACCTTCTGCCATGGGGTGATGCAGCAATAAGGCCCTCATCTCATGCTGGCCCCTCTATATTGAACTTCCCAGCCTCCAGAACTGTGAGAAATAAATTTCTGTTTAGTATAAATAATCCAGTCTCAGGCATTTTGTTATAGCAGCACAGAATGGACTAAGACATCTACCCTGTGTCTCAAAGGTGATAGGCGTTAGATCACTGCTATCACAATCCTCACAGTCTAGCAGGGCAGAAAACTGGCACCATATCGGTGCTCCACAGACAGTGGGTAAGACAAGGGAACCCCATCAACATGAATCAACAAGCACGCACATTAAGGGCACTGACTAAGGGCTCCATGGGGAAGCACAGGTGTGAAATGAGGGTAAGTAAAAGAAAAAGGCAAGAAAGTTGACACTTCAGTGGATCTTCACCAGCGAGGAGGCTCAGGGATTATAAACTACTGAGAAATAACACCTTCTTAATGTATCTAATAAATGTAGAAAGTGCTCATAAATTGAGTGCATTAACTTTATTTCCTTTGATATCTGCTAATATGCATGCCATTGACTACAAACAGCATCCTTGTAATCCAACAGCATCACAACATTCTTAAACAAACAAAAAGTGATAGAAAATAATATTTATGTTAAATATATGTGAACTGAAGCTTTTACAGCAAGGTGTCATTTCCTCCCTGCCTTCCATTCTGCCTTCCTTCTATTTCCACGTATAAAAAGAGTGGCATATTTCCATTATAACTTGAATGGCTAGGACAATGACACAAGATGGCAGCCACCACAGGCTCAGGAGTAAAGGTCCCTCACAATTTCCAACTGTTGGAAGAAATTGAATAAGGCCAGAAAGGAGCAGGAGATGGCACAGTTAGCGGGGCTCTAGAATATGACGAAGACATGACACTTATGAGATGGACAGGGATGATAATTGGGCCTCCAAGAACAATTTATGAAAACCGAACATACAGCCTTAAAATAGAATGTGGCCCTAAATACCTATAAGCACCCCCATGTGTAAGATTTGTAATAAAAATTAATATGAATAGAGTTAATAGTTCTAATGGAGTGGTGGAGCCAAGAGCCATATCAGTGCTAGCAAGATGGCAGAACTCATATAGCATCAAAGTTGTCCTTCAAGAGCTTCAGCACCTAATGATGGCTAAAGAAAATATGAAACTCCTTCAGCCATCTAAAGGACAGTGTTACAGCAATTAATCAAAAAGAAAAACCAGAGGACCTTCCCTTCCACCCCCACCCCATTTGATTTATGCAGTCTTCATTTTCCACAGTAGTAAATTTTCTAGATATATCCTGTAGATGTCAAAGTACTGGAAGGAAAGCTCTCATTCAAAGGCAATTTACCTTAAGATACTGTAAATGATACAATTTTTTTTTTTTTGGAGACAGAGTCTTACTTTATTGCCCGGCTAGAGGGCCATGGCCTCAGCCTAGCTCACAGCAACCTCCAACTCTTGGGCTCAAGTGATCCTGCTGCCTCAGCCTTTTGAGTAGCTGGGACTACAGGCATGTGCCACCATGCCCGGCTAATTTTTTCTATATATTTTTAGTTGGCCAATTAATTTGTTTCTATTTTTAGTAGAGACGGCGTCTTGCTCTTGCTCAGGATGGTCTCCAACTCCTGACCTTGAGTGATCTGCCCGCCTCGGCCTCCCAGAGTGCTAGGATTATAGGCATGAACCACTGTGTCCAGCCAATACAAATTTTTTGTCCATTTGAAATATATAAGCTGTGCTATAACAAATCATCCAGTCAAGTGTAACCGCAGTCCACATAGTTGAACTTCTAAGATCAAGAACGTATATTTATTTTGTGCTCCTTTGGCAGCACATATACAGCACATTCCATTAAAATTGGTATGGAGAAGATTAGCATAGCTCCCATGCAAGGATGACAGAAAAATTTGTTAGGCGTACTTTTCTTCATCTTTAAAAATTTTTAAATAATAATAATAATAAAAGAAAGTATATTTAAATTGGTTCCTGTCATAACTGGTGGGGCACATATAACTCAACTGTGAACGGACACATCACACAGTCACCTTGCTGCTGATTACATGGCCTGGGGTCTCTGCCTTCTCTCCTTTCCCTTCCTCTGCCTCCTTCCCTCCCTGCAACAGCCCTCCAAGCTTGGGGGGGAGGGGGAGGTTGTTAGAGCAGATGTGAAAGTTTCAGGTCACAGCCTGTGGGACTATTGCTGGGTGTATGGGGTGCTTTGCCTGCACCCCTGGTTTCTTTCTTTAAGTCTTAAATGATGCCCCCTTCCAAGTCATCATACCCTGCCCACTCTCCACTCCCACCCTTGGCCAAAGCATAGATTATAACCCCTCTGCTCCCCTCTGACATTGGCCTTTGGTGAGGAATTCAGGGCTTTCCCCATATCTTCTCTCCCCCACCTTTATTGAGGGGTGCTGCTTTCTCTTCCCTCCTTCTCAAGTCCCTCTTTGCACTGTCATCACCCAACACTTTCCATGACACTCCTTGAGCTTTGGCCAGAAGCCATCAGAAAAGGTTGAACAGAGTCTCTGACCTCCCTTGTTTAGTTTTGGAACCACATTTATTCACTCTACCAGCCTGGGAAATGAATATGGGGTCCTCAGCCTTGCTTCCCTCTGCTGTCCTCATCAGCTGATGCACTTTTTGAGCTCAGGTTTTGATCAGGTGAAAAGAACAGTCACCAGGGTTACTCAGACCTGCCAGCTCTCAGAGTCCTTGGTGGTTAAAGTTGGAGAAAGTCCACATGAAGACACTCATAAGCCACACATGATCCCTCTGAATTGTTTTATTTTCCTGTAATTGTTTTTGCTTTTAAACATCGAAGAAGTTTTGAACAGGGCTCTCATTTGGTCATCCTTGCAATCCATTGAGGTCTAGTTTGTAATCTGACACCTGTAACAAAAAGAACCTTGAATTCAGTGCATACTTTGGTTTTGGTGCTGCTGCTTCTCACATCTTCAGCAGGGATGCAGAAAGAACTGCGTATTCACAGCAGATTCCCGAAATTGGCGGGCTTGACTTCCTGCCAAATTGCTGCGTTTTTCCACTTTCTGTTCAGGACCACTAAATGCTGAAATGTGGATGCATACCAAAATAAAAGCAATTCATGGCCGGGTGCAGTGGCTCGTTTGTAATCCTAGCACTCTGGGAGACCGAGGAGGATCACTCGAGGTCAGTTCAAGACCAGCCTGAGCAAGAGCGAGACCCCCGCCTCTACTAAAAATAGAAAGATATTAGCTAGACAACTAAAAATATATAGAAAAAATTAGCCGGGCATGGTGGCACATGCCTGTAGCCCCAGCTACTGGGAGGCTGAGGATGAAGGATCACTTGAGCTCAGGAGTTTAGGTTGCTGTGAGTTAGGCTGACGCCAAGGCACCCTAACCCTAGTCAACAGAGCCAGACTGTCTCAAAAGAAAAACAAAACAAAAAAAAGCAATTCATTGTGTGAAAAAAAATTGGATGGCTAATTGTGAGCTAAACTGTGTCCCTCAAGCCACCCCAATTCAAATTTTGAAAGCCTAACCCCCAGCATCTTAGACTGTAACTGTATATGGAGATAAGGTCTTTAAGCAGATGATCAAATTACAATGAGGCCCCTAGCATGGGACCATAATTCAATAACTAGTATCATTGTAAGAAGAGACACCAGGTGCCAAAATTTGAGTAAGGAGGCAGAAATGTCAGCTACCTTGAAAGCCTTAAGAGAAAGAATTCAGAACCCCAACCACCATAAAAGTTAAAAAAAAAAAAAAAAACAACCCAACCATAACAGCAGCTAGGTCTTAAACTCCCACCATACTAAAGTTGAAAAAAAAAACAACTCATTATTTAAGCTACACAATCTACATTATTTTCTTACAGTAATGCCAGCAAACCCATCAACAACCAGAATGTAAGCACAAAACACAAAAGATTAATGTCTATTATTTCAAACCACATCATCAGGGGAAAGCGCGAACGCAGTCCCCCACTACCACAAATTATGCAGTCGAGTTTCCCACATTTGGGGAAATCGCAGGGGTCAGCACATCCGGAGTGCAATGGATAAGCCTCGCCCTGGGAAAACCACCTTCGTGATCATGGTATCTCCCCTGCCAGGTAAGTATGAGTTGCTATGCCTAACTGCTAGCTCACCCTTGTCTTCAACACACAACTTAGTAATGGTCAATTGTATTACGCGTTCTTAGGCCTTCAGTTGGAAGCCACAAGTTTCTTTATATGACAAGGATCAAACTACAACCTTCTGCATTTCCGCAGGGAAGTCTCCGGCGCGGAAAATACACTAGAGCCGGCAATCACCGCGCTGTCATCTACATATCCCTGCCTCTTGTAGTGACGTCACCCTCCGCTTCAAGGCTTTCTTCACTCCGTTCCCGCCCAGAAGCGTTCGCTCTCGCTACCCCTCGGGACGAGGGAAAGGGCATCGGCAGGTGTGACTGAAGGGATTGTGACCGCTTGCCTTTTCAGGCATACGCAAAGGAGTGCGTGTGTAACCATGAGTCTCGGCCGTGCGCTGCAGGGCAGTTTGGGAGGCCGTGGTGTGGGGCGCGGCACAGGGGAAGGCAGCGGAAACGGCTGTGCCAGGTCTGATTCGCTGCTCCACCCTCGGATTTGATCAAACTCAGGCTCTGTCAGTTCCCGTTTCTCAAAATTATAAAGTGGAAATAATACTGCCTACCTCACAAGGATTCTGTGAGGGGTGAATGCATGTAAAACGCGGCAGCGAGCCTCCAAGCCCCACCCAGGCCACTCTGCTCCTGGACTGGTGCCCTGCGTACTTCAAGACCCAAAGCAGGTCTCTGCAGTGCTTGCCAAGGGAAGCAGCATCCGGCCTGGATTTGGGAAAAAACCAAGTGCTTTTTTCTTCTTCTTAGACCAATATATCTCACGTTGTGTTTTCCCGCAAGGAGTTCCAGACAAAACAATTCTGTTTGCAGCAACTCTAATATCCAAGGAGCTTTCCTTTGTTTTATATTTTTGGAGGGTATTTTTAATTATTACAATAGTGATAAATGTTCCTGGCAGATAACTTGGAAAAGACAGAAAAGTTTTTAAAAATTAAAATCAACCACGTTAAAAGACCACCCGCCCCCTCAATAAAACAAAGAAACAATTCTGTAAAATAATTTTTATTTTTTTTATTTTTTGAGACAGAGTCTCACTCTGTTGCCCGGGCTAGAGCCTCGTGGCGTCAGCCTAGCTCACAGCAACCTCAAACTCCTGGGCTCAAGCAATCCTCCTGCCTCAGCCTCCTGAGTAGCTGGGACTACAGGTAAGTGCCACCATGCCTAGCTAATTTTTTCTATTTTTAGTTCTCCGGCTAATTTTTCTTTTTTCTATATTTCAGTAGAGACAGGCTCTCGCTCTTGTTCAGGCTTGTTTAGAACTCCTGGCCTCTATAGAAGGGACAGGAATAGGTAAAAGAAAAAAAGAAGAAGAAGAAAGAATACAACTCCTGACCTCAAGAAATCCTCCCACCTTGGACTCCCTTGAGTGCTAGGATTACAAGCCTGAGCAACTATGCCGGACCTAAAATAATTTTTTTTCTTTTTTTTGAGACAGAGTCTCGATTTGTTTCCCAGGCTAGAGTGAGTGCCATAGCATCAGCCTGGCTCACAGCAACCTCAATCTCCTGGGCTCAAGCAATCCTTCTGCCTCAGCCTCTCAAGTAGCTGGGACTACAGGCATGCGCCACCATGCCCGGCTAATTTTTTCTATATATATTAGTTGGCCAATTAATTTCTTTCTATTTATAGTAGAGACGGGGTCTCGCTCTTGCTCAGGTTTGGTTTCGAACTCCTGAGCTCAAACAATCTGCCCGCCTCGGCCTCCCAGAGAGCTAGGATTACAGGCGTGAGCCACTGCGCCCGGCCTTAAAATAATTTTTAAAAGTGTCTTCTGATCCATTAGGAGTGACCACAGCCTAGGGATACACAAACTCAAGACGCCTTACGTGGTTCTGAGACAGTTGGATTATAGTTTGGTTATATACATTTGAGGGAGACAGGAATTGCTGGTAAAATTATAAATCAATACATGGATGGAATACATTGGTTAGGCCCTAAAAGGCAGGACATTTCAAAGTTAGGGGGATGGTTTACAAGTCACAGGTGGATTGAGAGATTCTTTAATTAGCAATTAGTTGAAAGAGTTAAGCTTTGTCTAAAAATCTGGAGTGGGAAGGAATGCCTAAATCAGGCGTCCCTCAAACTATGGCCTGCAGGCCGCCTAGCACATTTATCTGTCCCTCGGGGTGTTTGCCGGTCCTCCTTAGCAGCTGACTCATCCTAGGCCCACAGTGCACACTTTCCAACGGTCTGAGGGACAGTGAACTGGCCCCCTATTTAAAAAGTTTGAGGACCCCTGGCCTAAATTATGAAGTCTGCTAATGATAAGGCAAGCCACAATATACCACTCAGTGATTTGTGAAGCCAGTTGATGGTGGCCTTCAGGTGTGACTTAACCTTTGCCTTGCGTGGCCTTAGATCCTGTTGATAATTTACTATTTTATTGCCACAAAGAGTCTGTTTTGTCAGTCTTATGATCTCTATTTTAACATTAATGCTCTTCAGTTGCTGTGTCTACACTCCAAAGGGAGGGCTATAATGAGGCATGTAGAGAGAGACTTCCTTTCCCTTCATGGCCAGGAACTCAGTTTTAGAATTTTTCTGGGGTCCCCTTGGCAAAGAGGGGTCCATTCAGTCAGGAGACTAGGGGAGCGGTTTAGGATTTTATTTTATTTTACTTTTAGACAGAATCTCACTCAGTAGCCAGGCTACAGTGAGAATTTGAGCCTAGTTAGGGCTAGTTTGAGCTCAACCTCAAACTCCTGGGCTCAAGCAATCCTCCTGCCTCAGCCTCCTGAGTAGTTGGGTGTACAGGCATGTGCCACCAGGCCCGGCTAACTTTTCCATTTTTGGTAGAGACCGGGTCTTTTTCTTGCTCAGGCTTGTCTCAAACTCCAGACCTCAAGCGATCCTCCTGCCTCAGCATCCCAGAATTCTAAATTTACAGGTGTGAGGCACCAAGCCTGGCAGGATTTTATTTTTAGTTTAGAATCACAATTTCATTACAAAATTATCACTGTTATAGTTTGATGTTATATGTGGTAATTCTGATACTTTATACATACATACATATATATATATATTTTTTCTTTTCTTTTTTTTTTTTTGAGACAAAGTCTCACTAGGTAGCCCAGGCTAGAGTGCCATGGCGTCAGCCTAGCTCACGGCAACCTCAAACTCCTGGGCTTAAGCAATCCTTCTGCCTCAGCCTCCCAAGTAGCTGAGACTACAGGCATTCACTACCGTGCCCAGTTAATTTTTTCTATATATTTTTAGTTGTCCAAATAATTTCTTTCTAGTTTTAGTAGAGATGGGGTCTCGCTCTTTTTCAGGCTGGTCTCAAACTCCTGAGCTCAGGCAATACTCCTGCCTCAGCTTCCCAGTGTGCTAGAATTACAGGCATGAGCCACCACGCCCAGCCTACATATATATTTTTTAAAGGAGTATACTTTACATGCCATTTTATAACTTTTTTATTAGTTTTACTATATACTGGATCATAGATAATTTATATAATCAATATTCTGTTGTTTCCAATTAATTGCCATTTTAGATATAACTGCAATCAACAGGCCTTATATCTTTGTTATTTTTTTCTTTTTTATTTCAGCATATTATGGGGGTACAAATGTTAAGGTTACATATAGTGCCCATGCCCCCCTCTCCCCTAGAGTCGGAGCTTCAAGAGTATCCCCCAGAGGGTGCACATCTCACTCATTATGTATGTATATACCCATCCCCTCCTCCCCCCATCTTTGTTATTAATGATGGTTTCTTAGGGTACATTTTCAGTTTTCCCTGTTACTTTAGTCCTCTAAGAGGTGCCTTAAGTTATTATTTTTGGGTAGGAGGTTTCAGTCAGGAATAAAAAATTGGCCTTTTGGGGCTCAGGCCTGTAATCCTAGCACTCTGAGAGGCCGAGACAGGCCCACTCAAGGTCAGGAGTTCAAAACCAGCCTGAGCAAGAGCAAGAACCCGTCTCTACTAAAAATAGAAAGAAATTAATTGGCCAACTAAAATATATAGAAAAAATTAGCCAGGCATGGTGGCACATGACTGTAGTTCCAGTTACTCAGGAGGCTGAGGCAGCAGGATTGCTTGAGCCCAGGAATTTGAAGTTGCTGTGAGCTAGGCTGACGCCACTGCACTCACTCTCTAGCCAGGGCAACAAAGCAAGACTCTGTCTCAAAAAAAAAAAAAGAAATTGAACTTCAGAGTATTACCGGGCCTTAAATTATTTGGGGCAGGAGTTACATGGCAAACATTTTTAATTTTTTTTGTGGGGGTAGCAGCAGACGGTCCCTCTGTGTTTATTATCCAGAAAAGACTGCCAGTGGTGTCATCATAAACTCACTAACATAATCAAACTCCTCTAACTAGCTGAGACTACAGGTTGGATCCCAAACAAAAGCCATATATTTTTAAAAAACAAAAAAAAGCAGCTGAAATCAACTTTAGCAGCAATTTTGTTACTAGAAATTCACACAAAATAGTCTTCATCATACGCAAAATAACCACTTCCCCATAAGCAAAATAAACTTAAACGCAAATGCCCACCATAAACTGTTTTTCAACCTAAAAGACAAAAACCTCAACCTAACCTCTATAAGCTAAGTCTGACTTTTAAACCAAAGAAAACAGGGGAAAGCGCGAACGCAGTCCCCCACTACCACAAATTATGCAGTCGAGTTTCCCGCATTTGGGGAAATCGCAGGGGTCAGCACACCCGGAGTGCAATGGATGAGCCTCACCCTGGGAAAACCACCTTCGTGATCATGGTATCTCCCCTGCCAGGTAAGTATGAGTTGGTTTTGACCCGGGCACAACCCGGTGCAGCGCACATCACTGTAAGGTTCGGGTCACTCGTAAAATGATTCTAACTGGACTTTATCCACATGGCGCACCCAAAGAAAACGAAGGTTTTCGTACTGTATCTTCGTACTGATGATAGAGACGACATGCATCTCTTTCCAGGGAACGCGCTTCCAACATGCACCGAGTCTGCAATCTACATACTCCACCTCCCGGCGTGACGTCAAAAACAGTCCCGGCAGCCACATTCCCTTTAGCCGCCGCTGCGCACCCTCTTGGCCGACTTCCAACCATTGGTTCCTCCTCCTGCTTCCGCCTACTCTAGTGATGTCTGTCAAGCTATTTTCAAAATCTACCCCTCTCCCAACCTCCGGTGTACCGGAAGGCTTTCGTATCTCCCTGTGTGGAGTTCCCTTGAGCTAAAAACGGACGCGAATGAGCTTTTAGTCACGA